ACACACACACACACACACACACACACACACACACACACACACTCACTCTTATACACTTACACACACTCACTCACACTTACACTCTTATACACTTACACTCACTCACACTCTTATACACTTACACACACTCACTCACTCTTATACACTTACACACACTCACACTTACACTCTTATACACTTACAGACACACTCACACTCTTATACACTTACACACACTCACTCACACTCATACACTTACACACACTCACACTTACACTCTTATACACTTACAGACACACTCACACTCTTATACACTTACACACACACACTCACACTCTTATACACTTACACACACTCACTCACTCTTATACACTTACACACACTCACACTTACACTCTTATACACTTACAGACACACTCACACTCTTATACACTTACACACACACACTCACACTCTTATACACTTACACACACTCACTCACTCTTATACACTTACACACACTCACACTTACACTCTTATACACTTACAGACACACTTTATACACTTACACACACACTCACACACACAAACACACACACACACACACACACATACACACACTCACACACACACACATACACACACTCACACACACACACATACACACACTCACACACACACACATACACACACTCACACACACACACATACACACACTCACACACACACACATACACACACTCACACACACACACATACACACACTCACACACACACACATACACACACTCACACACACACACATACACACACTCACACACACACACATACACACACTCACACACACACACATACACACACTCACACACACACACATACACACACTCACACACACACACATACACACACTCACACACACACACATACACACACTCACACACACACACATACACACACTCACACACACACACATACACACACTCACACACACACACATACACACACTCACACACACACACATACACACACTCACACACACACACATACACACACTCACACACACACACATACACACACTCACACACACACACATACACACACTCACACACACACACACACACTCTTATACACTTACACACACTCACTCACACTTACACTCTTATACACTTACACTCACTCACACTCTTATACACTTACACACACTCACTCACTCTTATACACTTACAGACACATTCACACATACACTTACAGACACTCACTCACACACACACACACACACACACACACACACACACACACACACACACACACACACACACACACACA